TTGCACAAACTCAAGCCTGTCAGGGCATCGAGTCCACAGTTTCCCTCACGGGAAAAGGACCGGCGCTAGCGTTCGTTCGTTCCTGGGTTCTCTCTCTCTCGGCACCCGTAGTGTGGAGTTAGGTAACGCTGTGGTGGCTGTACTGCTCCAGCCGTCTCCTTTGTGTTTGTTTGTTTCCCCCTGTCTGTGTTTTTTGTGTGGGCAGGGTGGCTGTCACTCCTGGCTCCTGGCTCAACCTCCACTCACCTGCTGCAATCAGCTGCTGCAATCAGNTTTCCATCAAGCCATTTACAACGGCATATCAACGGAGCTTCACAACCTTTCTCCGCCAGATCGTCAAGTATCAGCCGTATCTCGCGTCTCCCCTCCGGTTACCGGAGGGGAGACGCGAGATACGGCTGATACTTGACGATCTGGCGGAGAAAGGTTGTGAAGCTCCGTTGATATGCCGTTGTAAATGGCTTGATGGAAAGCAGGTGTGTAGTCGGGGAGGGTGCACAGCTGATTGCAGCAGGTGAGTGGAGGTTGAGCCGGAGGAGTGACAGCCACCACGCCCACACAAACAACACAGACAGGGGGAAACAAACACAAAGGAGACGGCTAGAGCAGTACAGCCACCACAGCGTTACCTAATGCAACTCCACACTACGTCTTACGGTGCCGTGTACCGGAGGGGAGAGAGAGCAGCGAAGGGGGGGAGAGAGATGTAATACGGTTTACTGATAAAGCTGTGGAGACGGAGTATGTGCTGCAGGGAGGTGGATGCACAACGCACCCAGGAACGAACGCTAGCTCCGGTCCTTTTCCCGTGAGGGAAACTGTGGACTCGATGACCTGACAGGCTTGTGTTTGTGCAACCTGCACAAGCTCACCATGATTACAAATGGTGAAATGCAATGTAAAATTAAAACTGCGGTCACAGATGTGCGCAGTGATGAGCGGGCCCTCGCGTCCGTGCGCCTGTCGGGGAGGGCGGCCGGTCGTCCCGGCGTCAAGCAGACGCGCGCGAGTCCTCCGAAATGAGCCGTTTGTCATTACTCTCATTTTCGCGTCCCAGGCTCCCAGGTCCTCCGGCAGCGACCCGGAAACGGATGTCGGCGCGCCGTCTGGAGGAAAACAAATTTGTCTAAAGGCTCGTCGAGGATGGATTATCGAGGAGGCTGTCTGGAGGAGCCGTAACCGAGGATACACTGATTTAGAGGAGAGAGGAGAGAGGAGAGAGGAGAGNGTCAGATAGTAGAGATAAGTACAGGATAAACTAAGACCAAGGCAGCACGGCGACGGTACGGTTGCTTCTCAGCGAGCACAGGCGGAACCAACTTTAGCAGGGGAGTGTCTTACGGTGTTTCGTCGCGTAATGATCGTACAACGGGGCCCTCGACATTTTCTGTAGTCCTATTCAGTCCATTTCGGTACCAACCATTCGTTTTTTCAGCACGTAAAACTCTTCAAAAAATCCCCGTGGGCGTCACTGCTGATGTATTTAATTGTCGTGAACAAAAGCTCAATTACCTCTTCAATTATGTGTCAACCACAAGACCTTATTCGAGCTATTTTTTCCAAAGCCTATTGAAAAAATGCATTGCTTTTTGAGGAAGAAGCCGCGAAGTGCTAAACTGCTAATTCCTTCCGCGGTTTTACGACGCGCTCACTGCGGGGTTTCTCTCATCTATACATCCGAATGGTTCTGTCGCATGGCGAATGTCATCACACACAAACGACGTCATCGACAATTCTCTCGGTCGATCTTATCTACCTGAGGTCACAGGCCCCGTGTGCCTGGAAGGCTGTTGCTGGTTTCTCCCTCCTTGTTCCCCCAGCATCTGGATGACACCATGTGACTTTATGCGGCTGAATACTCCGCTTCCCTCAACAATAAAGCCTACTCATCAACGACTTATCACTGACGCGAATCATTGACATTCTATGGCTTAACAGAGACATGCAAAATCAGTAGGACTTTGTTACACTCAATCAAGCCACACCCCAGGCTATCTGTACATCAGCAAGGGCCCCGCTCCCTGTAGGCCGATCATGGCCTTAGGATGGCTGTTATCCACGAGCTGGCATCCTGGTTAAAGAACTCCCAGTACCTACTCCATCCTCATTTGAGTCGTGCTTGTCTTCAAACTTGGCTGCGCGTCTGCCCGCACCAGGTTGCCCCCTCATTTACCGCCCCACCAAGCGTTCACTACCTTCTTGTCTATTACTCATCCTCTCTCTGTCATGTCTGCTTCACGTCTCCTGCTCGGCGATTTTACATTCACGTGGACTCCAGTAACTGCACATATGCCTGCCTTACTTACTTTACTTCTGGACTGCCTTCAGCATCAAGCAAACGATGTCCAGGGGCCCCCCCCACCCACACCAAAGCCACCACACTGCGACCTGCGTGCTGCTCTACCGGCTCTCCGACCCCCGACCTACAGCGCACTCGATCCTAGCTGTTATCCTGACCACCAGCCATCCTCTTCACTGTTTCCGGGGCCTCCTGCCCAGGCCCCAGCGATCCTAAACGCACCCATTATGTTTAGGAACATCAGAGACTGTGAGTGCACGGCACCTATCCGACCTATAGCCTACCCACATGGCCTCGCGCTCCCTCCGACTCCACCGTGGGACGCCTGGTAGCCCACTACACACTGCCCCCTATCCCGTCGGGTACTCAAACTCTCTTTGCCCCATTAAACCCGACTGTTTCCTTCACCTGTCCTGCCCCCCCTGGGTTCACCAACCAAACCTCCGCCGTTTGGAAGCGCCCTCTTTCGCGCTCGTCAGTTGGAGAGGCTTCCAAAAGAACTTGCCTCACGTCCACTTCCTGGCTTTTTGTGACCATGTCACCAACTTATAGAGCAAACTCTTCACACGGGCCGAAGACTCATTACACTCCCGTCCATCGGCTGGCCAGCAGAGCAACCCCAGAACACTTTTCTCCACCATCGACCGCCTACTCCGCCCTGACGGCTCCCCCAGCCCTAGGGCTTCCCGATCTGGCCCACAATTCCTTGACTTTCTTCCTGGCAAAAGCTAAGGCCATCCATCAGCAGCTCCTGGCCCACCTGGCCCTCCCCCCCTACCTGCCACCTCAGCCACCGGGCGCCGTGCACGCCTCTCCCTTGCAAACCTCTTCCTCCTTCTCCCCTGTGGTTGCCTCTCCAGGCTGCCAAACTAGTCAGCGCCGGGCCAGACCTCACCTGCCTCCCTGGACCATGCCCACAGCCCTGGTCAAAGGACTGCCTACCCACCTCGTGTTTCCCCACATGGTTGGTCATCATTACGCTTTCTCTGCCTCCTGGTATAGTCCACCACCAGCTTCAAAATGGCCCCTCAGTCACCCCCGATCATACGATGCGGTGTTGCCACACAGCGGTTTTAGCCGTTGGTGACCCTTTACTGCTTTTCTTAGGGTTGCTAACTTAAAACATGTTTTTTTCTATGTGTGCCTGGCCTTACATTACTATAAGCGTAGTTAACACAGTATTGAATTCAACTTCTGTTGAACTGAGAACGTCCTGATCCGCTCCCTACCTTCCAGAATGAACCCACCCCTCTTCGCCACTCTGTGTTTTTAAATATTTCCATGCAAACTGTACTATGCGGTTCTGGCACTCTGCAGACAGCTGCTCTCTTGTATGATTTGACTGAACTCTCTTACAAGAAATACAATATGCATAAAGACAAGCTTGGGAAGCGTTTGTTCTTTATCCACATGTTGACTTAATAGAAATGAAGATAATGGAAATAGCGCGCCCATTGCAAAAAAAAACAAAAGGGGGACTGCATTCTTTATCTAACAGAGATAAATGACCAAAGAATGATGCTAGAGCATTCTTTAGAAAGAACTGTAATATATAAGTCTCTTTAAGTTGTCGCTTGTTCCTATAACATTTAAGTCAAATATTGCTGACTGTTTGACATGTATGATTCTTACCTTTGATCTTTTTATTCCCTTTATTGTTC